TGGCTGGCTGGCTTCCTTGCTGGCTGGCTGGCTGGCTTCCTTGCTGGCTGGCTGGCTGGCTTACTTACTTACTTACTGGCTGGCTGGCTGGCTCTAAGCACTTAAACAGAAATATCGATATACTGAAAAAGATTACACACGCTCTCGGTGTATGCCTAGTGCGTAAACCCCGATACAACAATGCAAAATGGGTTTTGGCGACAACTTACCTATAGGCTGCCGTACCCTAACCGAAGTCATTTTTTGGGATGCTGGAATTGGACCAAAACTCCGGTCACCGGAGTCTACCAGAATGCCATGGGATGATTTATTTTACAGGACAGTGATAGACGTTCGCAGCAGTTTTGCAGGGGAATGAGAGTGTCTTTACAGTTGACCATGGAATGCTGGACAAGTTGGGCGAATTATCATCTTAAAGCTCACATTGTACTAAGGAAATTAATTATTTCGCCATAAATCAGCCATTCATCTACGTATATTTATACACAATTTAGTATTCTCCCTAAGAACCAGGGTTTCAAGAGTATAGAGGGGGAGAGAGAGGGAGAAAAATCGAGAGCGAGAGCTATGTATGCGCTGCCCGCAAACAGGCCTATGAGGCTATAACTGATTGTATATAATTATTCTTCAAATTTGCTTTCAATAATATTATGTAACTTAGATTTGCATCCAGTTTTAGAAAGTTCAAGTTGATGCCAAGAAACGGCAGCAAAGCCCGTGGGCATCCCCCCCACCTCCACGAAACCAAGCTCAGCTTCTCTTCCTCTCATCCCTCCTTTCTTCACAGGAGCATGATTTCTCCCACGCGCCGGCGCTTACTCTCCAGAGCAGGCCTTGTCTCTACGTTATTAGCCTCTAGTCGTCGATCCAGTCTCGCTGCAGCCACCTGCGCATTATCGACACGCTTGATACGAGGGGCGATCGTGTCGCCATCTACCTTACAGCCAGCCGCGCTCCTTCCTCAACAGCGCTTTATATCGTCTTTAAAGGACTACCCGACAGGCGAGCAGTCGATAGCCGATGAGCTTGAGTTCTTTAACGAGAAGAAATGGGGCTGGGTCATCTACCGCTGCACCTACGGTGACGACGCGGCCTGGGAGCGCTTTAAGGAGCTGGTCGCGCGGCAGACGCGTGAGCATCTCGCACCGTCCCCGTATAGCGACGCGCCTCCGGTACCGTTGCCGCGCAGCGTCGTAGATGGTGTCGATTGGAGGTTCGTGTCCGACCCGACTCTCGAAGGCGCGTCAAAGCAGGCACTCCGCGAGCGCTTCCGTGCTTGGGTTGCCGGGGATAGGCCAGACCCTCCGGCGAGGCCCGGGTACAAGTCGTCGCGCCACAGCTACTTCGTGCAAGTGGATGAGGCGTCACTGCGTAGCGTTTTTAACGATGATAACCCGGACGCCTGGAGGTCAGGCTGGGTCAACCTGGTGCGCTGCGTCGAAGGGCTAGACTACAATCTGTCCCCGGAGTGGAACGCCGCGCAGGACGGGTATAGAAAGGAGCTCGAGGAGAACGGCGAAGAGTACATCCCAGAGGACTGGATAATGCTGGCGGCCTCGTCCCTGATCCCGGGCTTCTACGGCAGTCTGAACACCATGTCAGAGAATTGGTCCATGTATTATTCCCAGCCTCCGAACTTAGTATCGCATTAAATAGCGTGGTAAAAAACATGGCGGGTGGAATATAGGGAGCTGTCTGCTAGTCCCAATAGCATCACCGTCGTGCAGCGAGTCACGCAACTTTATGAGCTCCAGGATCACGAAATTCAGAGCGTGGGATATATCTGTAGATGTCGGCCCGTCCGCATCGATGCGACGGAGACGGTCTCTGAGTCGGGCAAAAACTGGCTATCGACAAAGTCGCGTCAACGTTAGTTTCGCTCGATAAAATTTCCGAGTCGGAGCCTGAGTCGCTGTCGCTGTCGCTGTCGCTCGTAAAAAGATGGGCTTGGTTTACAGGAAATGTGATGTTAGCAGGAAGGAGAATTTTGGCGCTGGATGAAACGCGATGTGGAGATCCCATCCACATCTGGGAGGGCAGCGGGTTTCGTGGACTTGCACCATCACAAATTACCATCCGCTTGTGGACCATCAGTCCTCGGAGCCGAAGGTACTTTGACTAATAAAGGAGAGCTCCCGTTGGTGTCCCCGGGAAAAGAAAGATTGCCTCAAAGGGGCTGCAAGAGGCAACCACGCCAACAAGTGAAGCCCAGCATTCTCGCTTCACGCTTACCCTGCAACATCATGGCTCGGAAGCCCGTCATCGCTGTGGCCGGCCTCGCCTGCGAGACATCAACGTTCAGCCCGTCACGAACCTCGGCTCCGGCATTTCACCCCCAACGAGGCGACGAGATCATCCAGCGCTATGCGTTTCTCCATCATGATCAGCCAGTGGGCCGCGGTGCCCTTTGGAAAGGCGCTCTCATCGGTCACGCGCTCCCTGGCGGCATGGTGACGCGCGAAGCGTACGAGACGCTTTCCAAAGAGATTGTTCAGCGTCTGGAGGACCTTATTCAAGAGCAGCCAATCGACGGCTTATGGTTTGACATTCACGGTGCCATGTGCGTCGAGGCCCTCGACGACGCCGAGGCCGACCTCCTCAGCCGCATCCGCGCCGTTATTGGACCCGACGTCATCGTCTCGGCGTCCATGGACCTCCACGGCAACGTCTCGCGCGAGCTGGCGCACATGTGTGACCTCATCACATGCTACCGCATGGCGCCCCACGAAGATACGATGGACACCAAGGAGCGCGCGTGCCGCAACCTCGTCAACACCCTCGCCCGGTCCTCGCCCAGTCCGCGGCCGCACAAGGCGTGGATCCCCATCCCAATCCTGCTTCCCGGCGAGCAGACGTCGACGCGCATGGAGCCCGCCAAGCACATTTACGCGGCCGTTCCTGGCGTCGAGGCGCTCGACGGCGTGCTCGACGCCGCCGTCTGGGTTGGCTACGCGTGGGCCGACGAGCCGCGCAACCGCGCCGTCGTCGTGGTCACGGGGTGGGACGAGGCGGCCGTGTCGCGCGGCGCCGAGACGCTGGCGAATCTGTTCTGGGATGCGCGTGCCGATTTCAAGTTTGTCGCGCCGACGGGCACGTTTGCCGCGTGTCTCGACGCCGCCGTCAAGTCGCCCGCCGCCGACCGCCCGTTCTTTATATCGGACTCTGGCGACAACCCGACGGCCGGCGGCTCCGGGGACGTGACATGGGGACTTACCAAGCTTCTCGCCCGCCCCGAGTTCAGGTCGCTCGATGCGGGCTACACGGTCATTTACGCAAGCGTGCCCGGCCCGGCGGCCATTGCCGTGGCCGTGGCCGCCGGTGTCGGCGCCAACGTCACCGTCACCGCCGGCGCCGAGGTGGACAACCTGCACGCGCCGCCGCTGACCATGACGGGGCGCGTGCACGCGATCAAGCATGGTGACAAGGATGCCGAGACGGAGGTGGTGCTGCGCGTGGGCTGCGTGTATGCCATCCTGACCAAGCTGCGCAAGCCGTACCACAAGGAAAAGGACTTTACAGACCTCAATCTAGACCCGCGGTCGGCGGATATTGTCATTGTCAAGATTGGCTACCTGGAGCCGGAGCTGTACGACATGGCCAAGGGCTGGATGCTGGGACTGACGCCGGGCGGTGTCGACCAGGACCTGGAGCGACTGGGACACCGCAGGATACGGCGGCCCATGTGGCCGTTTGACAAGGTCTTTGAACATGTTCCGAATCTGAGCACCAGATGGATCGCCAAGTCGAATAAGCCGCTCTCGGGCGCAGATGAGTAAAGGTTCCCGTTGGAAGTGGTGGTTTACATCTTCAGCGAAAGATGAGGCGACGAAGATTGGAAGTTTATGTATTTATGATTGAAGTTTTACGATATTCCGCAAATTATACCTGTCAACTCTTAAGTTTGTCTTAAGTTTGATCTTTGATCGAGCCACTCGTCGACGAAAGCACAGGCTAGCTCGATCTTTACAGCGATAGAGCCTCGAGAGTCGCCAGGTGCGCTGGAAGGTGCGCTGGAAGGACCGCTAAAAGTTGCGCCCGCGATGGCGCTGGAAGGAGGTTAAACAGAGTTTATGATATTAATTTATATAAAATACTTGAAAATTAACAATATATTTAACTATATTTGAGATCAAAGTCATTAGATTAATGTTAACGGGATTCGAGTAGGAGTGCAGACAGATGGTATGGAAGCAAGCTACCGAGAAACAATCCTCCACCACCAACAAACAGTGTCCAAACCCGCAAGATCAATCACACATCAAACAGCAAGATGCTCTGCCCACACTCGAGTGATGGGCTGCTAGGCCCTAGAATCAATATATCCTGTCGCGCCTTTTGACTTGACAGTGCTCTCCGAGGACATCTTTTTCGCATCTCTCCCATTGGCATGCTCCCCTACCATGTCGCCGTTCTCCTTCAATCGCCAGCATTGTGCTCCATTCGAACCACCTTGCTCCTGGTACAATTGGTACAAAGTCCAAGCATTCTGAACTGACAATATCTTGATCTCTTTTGACAGTTGTACAGGCAGCACTCACTTTTTATCTCTCTAACGCTTGTCACTTCTTGTGCCTCAGATTACAGACAATCGCCCTTCAAACGCTGGCCTCTCTAGCTACTGATGTGCTATCTATCATCACGAGTATCGGCACAATGCTACTTTCCTTTCCAGCAACGCTCTCTCCGGCCGTCGAAACTCCTCACCATATGTCTCTCTGCGCAAACCATCCTCGACATCCCCAGAGTCCGAACACTATGGCTGTAGGGTACATATCTCGAGCCCACAAAACGTCCACAATACATCATCGTCTTCCCATTCTGCATCACCGCATGACAATCGAGTGTCATCAGCAAAGGCCTCAACCTCGGTGGTGGGCAGAAGCAAAGAATTGTACGACTCAGGACGAAGCCGGAGAGTTTGTAGACTAATACATAGTCACTTGCTCGTGCAGCATTCTCGCGCAGGCAAATCTATCTGCTTAATGGCGTCTTGAGCGGTATAATTGCTCACACAGCACACCACGTCTCGCAACGCCTTCTGCGGAGTGATTCTGACTCGGATCTAGTTCAAAAAGCTAACTTGATAAAGCTGCATTCTCTGTCGTGGCAAACGGGTCATTCTTTTGGTGTTTTCGCGATACCTGGCCGCCATGGCACCATTTGTCATGGCGGTTCTGTACCTACTGCAGTCTTTCTGCTTGAAAACGTCACGGCAGGTTCGTCTTTTTGAAGTTTAATGATTACAGCCAGCGCAATAACAGCAAATAGTGTTGACAGCAAAACGGAGGCACTCATGCAGGATATTATAGACGACGTCTTTAAGATCGCCCCGTCGGTGCCGTCATGCATCGCCTGACGCACATCACTCGGTACGACAAGATTGCCGTTCTTGACGAGGGGTAATTGATGGAAAATGATTCTCCTGACCTTCTCCTAAGTCGAGATTCCTGGCTCACTCAACTATACCAGCTGAACGTGTGAATTCTCTGCATGTAGCAGAGGTGCAATTCGGTGGGACGCCCGAGTCTACCCCAAGATCCCAAGATTTCAGCGGCATCGAACAGAACTTTTGCACTCACTCAGAATCGCGGAAGTCTGCATGTCTCAAGACGCTGAATCGAATTGGGCATGCATTGATGCCCGGCTAGGGGCCGGTGGCGGCATACGCTGGCATTATATTGCTGCAGGCTGGCTTCGGCTGCGGCAGCGTCCCTGTCGTTGAGCTTGTTCAACCAATCAAAACAGACTCTGACGTCCCTTTATCTCACTTGTTTCTTCTGTCCCCAGCGCGCTCTTTTGTTTGTCATTGCCAGCGCATTCACTGCAGAGTGCGCATTCACTGCAGAGTGCGGAATGCTGCCTAGGTGGCTTGGGTCTACATACTTAAATCAGAACTCCCCGAACAACTTGTGGAATAAGGCGCGACCTCGACCAACTTCAAAACTTTCTCGAGCATCACCGGTCTTCGTCGATGAGCGAAGTAATGAAGTCGCTTACGACGCAGGGTCTGGAGCAGTTAGGCTCCAGAGAGCAGCTGCACCTACTCAACGCCGTGGACTCGCTCCGCTCCCAAGGTCTTAGCTACTACATTTCGCTCCCGCAAATTATCGTGTGCGGCGACCAGTCTTCGGGGAAAAGCTCAGTGTTGGAAAGCATCTCGGGCGTTTCGTTTCCGGTGAAAAGCAGCTTGTGCACCCGGTTCCCGACTGAGCTTATTCTTCGCAACACTGCCGTTTCCTCCATCAATGTCTCCATTGTGCCGCACCATTCTCGCCATGAATCCGACAAGGAATCCCTTTCAAAATTCCACGAGACATTGCTTGATTTCAAAGACCTGCCTGCGCTAATCGAAAGCGCAAAGACTGCCATGGGTGTCATGACAATGGGCAAGGCATTTTCTGAAGACATTCTGCGCATCGAAGTCAACGGCCCCGACCGCCCGCACCTCACCATTGTTGACCTGCCGGGTCTCATTCATTCCGAAAACAAGCACCAGTCCGCGTCAGACATTCAACTCATCAACAATGTCGTACAGGGCTATATGAAAGAGCCCCGAAGCATTATCCTGGCCGTTGTATCGGCAAAGAACGACTACGCCAACCAGATTGTTCTAAAACTCGCCCGCGATGCTGATCCTAGGGGGACACGAACGCTTGGTGTTATAACCAAACCGGACACGCTCATTCCAGGATCTGGGAGCGAGCATATGTTTCTCGCTCTGGCAAGGAACCAAGATGTAGAGTTCCGCCTGGGCTGGCACGTGTTGAGGAACCGCGACACTGAGGCGGAAAATTGGACATTTGACCAACGCGATGCCGCAGAGCTTCAGTTTCTGTCATCTGGTGCCTGGGTAGGCCTTTCTTCACAAGACTTAGGGATCAAGCCCTTGAGAACCCGCCTGAGCGACGTCCTTGTGCGACAGATTGCCTCTGAGCTCCCAAATCTCATCGAAGAAATTGCAGAATTGACTTCCGAATGCCAGAATTCTCTCGAAAAGCTGGGTCTGCCTCGCGATACCATCTATGAACAGAGAATGTATCTCATCCGGATCAGTCAATCATTCCAAACTGTGCTTCAGGCTATGGTGCATGGCACATACAACGACCCGTATTTCGGGGACGCCATGTCATTGACCGGCTATGAAAAGCGCACCCGGGCCGTTGTTCAGAACCTCAATCGAGCTTTTGCAGCGGAAATGGCCCGCAACGGTCGACGGTACAAAGTCGTGGCCGATGTCGATGATGCAGCCTCTGAGAGCAGTGAGATATTGACCCGTGAGGACTACATTGAAAAAGTTGTCTTGATTATCCAGAGAGGCCGAGGGAGAGAGCTACCTGGCATGTTCAATCCCATGATTGTTACAGAGCTCTTCAGGGAACTCTCGTCGCCGTGGAGGAAAATTGCAGAAAGCCACGTACAGGAAGTATGGAAGGCGGTTCGCCTGTCGTTGAGCCATCTCGTGACACATATTGCAGACTCTACCACTGTCAAAGCAATTTTAACGCATGTTTTCGAGCCCAAGTTGGATTCCTTGCGACAAGTGTTGCATGAGAAGCTGTCGGGACTACTGAAGCCACACCATAGCGGACATCCCATCACCTACAACCACTACTTCACGACAACTCTACAGAACATTCGCCAGGAGCGCGAAAGGTCACGAGTCATTGCGTTATTGAAGGCGATGTTTGGCCAAGTTTCATTGTCTTCGGCAACTACTGTTCATGCCTCGGTTGACTTTGGAAGGTTTGTTGACAAACTTGTTCTTCCACAAGAGCCAGATATGGATTATTTCTCAGCATCTGAGGCGCTAGACTTCCTAGAGGCGTATTATAAGGTGAGATATTTGCCTTACATCTACAGCCCTGTGCGCTCTTTCAGCTAACCTGTCTCGTGTCAAGATTGCCCTGAAGCGCTTCATCGATGACGTTGCGGTTGAAGTCATCGAGGCTTGTCTTTTGGATAAGCTCAGCGAAATCATGGATCCAAGCTCCATCTTCATGATGAGCGAGGCTGAAGTTGCTAGCATCGCGGCAGAGACGGAAGAGAGTCGGACAGCCCGCGAAGAACTGAGGACGAAAATAAAAATACTTAAAGGCGGAAGTGAAACGTGCAAGAAGATTGCAGCGGTCTACTCCAACCGTAAGGTTCGTGCCTAACTCATCTGCGGCGTCGCTTACATTTTGTAGTCTCGGGCAATGCTGTGAGCGATACTGACAAGACGGCTGATCACTCCGGAAACAAGAGCCCCGCCACAGATCTGATGGCAGAAACCGATATCAAAGAACAATATGTCTCTGAGGTCACTCCTGAAGCTACTCCCGAAGCCACCTCATCGAAGAATCAATTCTTGGAAGAGCCGGTACCTGAAGAGGAACCGATTATGTTGGACGATGATGAATGGAATCGCCCCGCCCGTTCATCAAAGAAGAAGAAGAAGAAAGCTTCGGGTTGGTCTTCGGGTTGGTCTAATGAGCCAGCGCCTCTGCCGGAGGTTCAGCCAGAGTGTGCCGAGGAGAAGGCGTGGTAGAATATGATTGCTGGATGGGCAAAGTTTTCCTAGATAGGTCTTGTGAAAAATGAACAGTTTCCGATACTATTTTCCATAATAACGTCTTCAGTATTATGCTTAGATTAATTCATAATAAACGAATCTACACCTACAGTGGCCGCTCAAGGTTGAGCTTGTGCGACTCCTCTGCTGCCAAATGCTGCCTTGCCCTTTCATGGAAATGCCCTCAGACGAACAAAACCGGGCCTCGGCGCGCTGTTAATAAATCATTCTGTTAACGCCCGCAATCCAAAAAAAATTCCCACCGCGCATTGTCCTCTCAGCGGGTATGTGACTCGTCGCGACGACTTGCGCCTCTGTCGCGCCGCCTGCGTGACTCCAGATCGCTCTCGGTGAAGAGGCCGCTTGGCTTGTATTGCTCCCCGAGCCTGCTCTTGGATGTCCGCTTCTTGGGTCCTCTGTGCTCGTCATGGGTGCTACTGTCTTGCAAAACTGTCGGCGATGCCTCGCCACGATCGCGCGGCCTTGCAGCGGCACCAAAGCTGCTACCGTGTTCCGGAGTTCCGCTTTGCTCGAAGGAGGTTGTTTCGCGCGCACATGGGCAGATATAATCTGCAGGCATTTCCGATTCCTCACCGATGACGGCTTCTGCACTGTCTCGCACGCGTGAGCCATGAATTCTTGAGTGTCGCCTCTTGACAGTTTTGGGCGGCACTGGAACGACTCTGGTGGCGGAGGGCTGGGAAATATCGCCGTGGTTTGTTGTGTGAAACGATGAAACAGATCTTGGAGAACCCAGCTCTGGCTCTGACTCCTCGGGAGGCTCGGATTCGAGTATTGACTGCGACGAGGTCATCTCGGATCCGTTTCGAGGGGGCGGTGTCGCCATCGCATGCGGCCGTCGTCTTGGTGTACGTTCAGGTCTTGATCTTCTTGTCGTGCGCGGTTCAGCGTCCATTTGCACTTGCACCTCCGGTGTTAATGGCCCCTGACAAGTATTCTGATTCCACGTCTGAATCATTATTCGAGGAGAACGACCTGAAGAGTAATTGTCTGGGTCTTGTCCATGCGACCAGTCATCTTGCTCTTGTTGGAAATAGTCGTCATGTCTTGTAGATCTGTGGGCCCTTTTGGCGGCCTTTCTTTCCTTCTCTGTCGTTTTGCGTGCCGTTCGCTGAAGCTTTCGAATATCGGCTGGATGCAGCCCAATGTCCTTCAACGCCGCCTCACCCACATGATCCAGGCCGCGTGATGCCGATTCGACTCGCCTCTCGTCTCTCAGACACTCTTGCACAATGGCCTTGCTGCTCGTTTGTTACTATATTGTCTTACTTTTTTGTCTGCGCTCGCTGGAAAACTCACAGCCTCAAGCATAACCTGGTTGGCACCTCGGCCCGGTCTCTTTCCAGTTTTGCAACACTTGCCCTCAGATGCTTGCAGATGATGGAGTTTACAAAGAGTGATGCAAGCGACGAAAGCACTTGTATGGTGTGGCGTGCGGCAGTAATGGATGATTTGACAAATAGCCATCTGAGCCGCGCGATGAGTTTTTGGAGCAGGCTGGCATCTTTGATGGCCACCAGGTCCCTGCAGCGTGTCAAGGAATGCATGGTTGTGCGGATTCTTTTCACCAAGGTCTCGCCTTCTCTGTGTTTGCTCTGTCGGTTGTCCACGTCCGCGAGGGGGGTCTCTAGGGTGTCGAACGCTTCTTCAAACCGAATCAGCACTCCGCTCAGTATCTCAATGTCTTCCGCGAGTTCGAGTATTTCTGTGGGAGCATTCTTCAAATTTTTCAGTAATTCGGCAGTCTTGAAGAGCCCCCCGACCAGAATGGGTACGATGCCATCCATGATTGGTAGTGTTGCAGTTAATGTCGACCGGATATGCCAGCGATGAGAGTGAAGCAATAAGGATTGTGATGGAGGGACAATCAGCGAGGCCGCCACTCTTATAGGAAGCCTTTCCGTGGCGAAAAAACCTGCTTGCTGATCTATTTCATTTTTTGAACAGCTAGGCAGACTGATAGGTTAAAAGTTGCAGTCCAAGCCTCCCTGGAGTGCACACAAGACCACCGAGAACAAAGAAACAAAACGAACATAGCCCGGTTCACGTAACGCACGACGAACCACCGTGACCGCCATTTCTGCTTAGTAGACTCCATGATACGGGGCAAATGTACGTCAGGCTGCGGCCCTCGACCCTCGTAGACAGGCTGAGTTGTGGTTTCCGGTGACTGGTCTGTTCCCAACACCAGGCTACATAGTTGTCCCTCAGCCTCAATCGTGGAACATGTCCTCCAAAGTATCCTGAGCGGACTAACTCACTAGCACGGCATTCTCCTGCCACGGACCCGGCGAGAGCGCCACCGGCAATAACAGTGCGTGCACGAGTCTCCTCATCTGATCTGCCAACATCGATCGGTCTGTACTCGGCCCGCTAGTAGCTCCCGCCTCGGGCAAAACACAGAGTGGTGCCCAGTGATGTAGTCGCCGCCGAGGCGTTTATTTTCCCCAACATGGATGTAGCTACAGCAGTAATATTAGATTGTACACTGTGCGTCTCGCTGGTTGCCGTCGTAGTCAGCACCGAGAGCAGGAGAGAAGGGAGCAAGGTAGCTGTCTGTGTCGAGACAAATCGCCACTCGTCAAAATCTCTATCTCTGCCCCTCTCGAAAAGATTAATGTAGCAAAGTAGCGCCTGTTTCATATGGTGTCATGAGGCACAAAGGGGAAGGGAGTCATCAAGTGGCGCAGCAAAAGGGCCTAGGAGTCCAACCCCTCAATTGCTTTGGGGCATATTAATGGCTACCCACGGAAGTATTTATGTTTCAGTGGCTGATGTGCATCTGTGTTCCCATCCTCAAATTATTTAAAAAAAAAAAGGCAATTCCCTTGCCGCCCTTGCCGCAGGAATTTCTTTTTTGCCTGATCACGTCTTGGCCAGTGGGTGAAAACATTTATTCCTCAGCTGCGTAGCTAGCAAGTACGAGATAAAGTGTCAAGGAACACGTTGATGAAAAGTAGTACCCCATAAGAGTGTACCATAGAAGTTGAATTTGTATCGGCTATTGCTGGTAACAAAGGTAATCAGAAGCTTTATGTTGCAAAGCTAGTGTGTTGTGGGAAAGAGAAACGAAAATCGAGTCATCTACCCGAACTGTCTCTCGTAGCAAGAAACTCAAGCATCAATAATCATCGCGAGTCAAAGTCTCCCGCTCTATTATGGGCTCAACGGGGGATCCGCGACTAGGAAGGCCGGCTTCCCCACGCCTTCCGTACAGCTGCACCATGCAGACTCGGCAAATCCCCTCAGGCGCCTGGTGACAAGTGAAGAAGTCTCCCGCCGGGACGAACATTGTGGTTGCGCAGCTTTCCTTCCGTGTGGGTTGGTCGTCGCAGAAGTCGCTGGACGTCATCCGGATGTCCAGGTTTTTGCAGAATTTACATCTGAGAAAATCAAATGTAGCTCTGCACATGATGAGCTTCTTGTAGTGAGGCGTTATCGGTAGTCTTGTTGGAATGATGGAACCAATATTGGGCGAAATAGTAGTGCTTGGAAGTTGACTGTAATGAGGAATCTAGTGTTTTTTTTTTGCTGGTCCATTGCTTGGGTTTTGTACTCTGAAGCTGGGAAAAAAACTGTAACATGAAATTTAGGCATTCTCACAGGTTGCCGCCTTTGTACGAGTGCAATACTGTATGCCTGGGGGCTGCGAATGCAATACTGTCTGCCTGGAAGCTGCGAATGCAATACTGTCTGCCTGGAAGCTGCGAATGCAATACTGTCTGCCTGGAAGCTGCGAATGCAATACGGTCTGCCTGGAGGCTGCGAATGCAATACTGTCTGCCTGGAGGCTGCGAATCCAATGCTTTCTGCCTGGAGACTGTGCGCCCCAAGACAAAGGAAATAGTATTCCCTATATTCACTGAAACATGGCAAGGAAAGTAATCCCGCCAATATTTGATTCCAAAAGTAGCTGCTATATACTGTCCTACTGTAACACTCTTGTATTCGCGGTTTTCGACCTTTTCAACGCCGAGTCAAAGCAATGTCCAACCCCAGCGGCTTTCTCAAAAAGCCTTCCCTCGTCTCCATCGGTCCTTGTCTGATCTTTGCCGAGTACCGCCGCACCCAAGTCGCCGCGATGAGCTTCATCTCCATCTCGGCCACATTTCTGCCCACACACGCCCGGGGCCCGTGGCTGAACGGGATAAAGGCCGTCTTTTGGCGCTGCGTGAGCGTCTCCCAGCGCTCCGGGCGGAACTCGTCGGCGTCCGGGCCCCAAATTTCCTTGGAGTGGTGCATGGTGTACGTCGGCACGCTCAGCACGGTGCCCGCGGGGAAGAAGTGGCCTCGGATGGTGACGCCGGGCGAGCCGGGCGGGATCTGCCGCGGCAGGCCGATACCCGACGTGGAGTGGTGGCGGAGCGTCTCCTGCAGGACCCTGTCGAGGTACGGCAGGTCGCGGACCATGTCGTGCGAGGGCACGCGCGTGCCGTCGGGGATGGCGGCGTCGAGCTCGGCCTGCAGCGTGGCGAGCACGCGCGGGTTGCGGCACAGGAAGTTGAGCAGCGCGCACGACGAGTTGGACGTGGTGTCGCTGCCGGCGATGAGCTGCGTGAGTGCCTCGGCCGTGAGCTCTTCGCGCCCGAGCGGCTCGCCCTTGTCGTCGCGGCCCTCCTGGAGCCGCGCGAGGAGGTCCTTGCGCGCGACGTCGGGCGGGTTGTCGAGCCGCGCCTTGACGCGCGCAATGGCGATGCCCGCCAGGTTCTGCACCGCCGCCAGGCCGTTGCTGAAGAAGGGGTCCGGCAGCCAGCGCGCGTACGGCTTCAGCGGCGGGCAGCAGCCGAGCGCCGCGCTCACTTCGCCGCGCCGGTTGAGGATCTCAATGGCCGAGGCGTACAGCGGCGGGCTCGTGGGCGACTCGCGGATCTCTGTCAGGTCGACGCCCGTGGCCAGCATGCCAAACGGCGCGCCAAAGGCGAGATCGCCGATGATGTCAAAGGCCAGGTAGTTGAACCAGGGGAGGCAGTCGAGGTGGGCTTCCTTGGCGCCTGTCTCGTCGCGCTGGTCGCTCTCGTCAATGAGCTTGTCAAACTGCTGGACAAACAGTTCGAGACAGTCCTTCATGTACGGCTCAAACTGGAGCACGGATTTAGGGGAAAAGGTGTGCGACACGAGCTTTCTCTTGCGCGAGTGCTCCGCCCTGTCGCGCGTGTTGAACAGACCACGCCGGATGGACACGAATGCATCGTAAAACTCGCTTTGACTTGTTAGAGGAGGGTGACTGCCAGTTCAAGAACGCTCAACGTACGATTTCAGGAAGCCGTTCCCGTGGCCGTAGATGCTGGCAATGGCCGTCTCGTCCGCCACGCTGACGTGGTTGGGCTGGATGCGGACCAGGGGCCCCAGCTTGCGATGCATCTCGTCCATGACCTGGTACCGGTTTCCGCGCCGGCACACGAGCAGGAGCCAGAGGTTCGAAAACTGCGCCGGCCACGGCGCGGGAATGTCGTTGAGCTCCGTGTTGCGAGTGACGTAGGCGTACCAGTACGAGGCGACCAGCAGGCCGACGGCGGCCGGGATGACCCACCAGGAGAAGAGAAGCTCGGTCACGGCCATGGTTGCTGCGGTGCGACACGATCGGGTGGAACAGAGAGGGGTGCTTTGCTTTTCCACGAGATCCGAAGAGTTGTAAACGAAGAGGATTGAAGTTGGTAGCTGAGTGGATATGCGCGGGTGCGCTACTCAACGTGAGGGATCATGGGCAATTGTACTATGTGCGACAAGAATGACACAAAGTTTCAGAGGAGAAGAACAGTATAATATACAATTGATGCCAACTCACCTTGAGCTGTGCGTCACCGTGATGAAGGAATACCCCGCAGAAACTCATCTCCCGAACCGTCACCCGTTGTCCGAAAGTGCGGCCGGATCCTGTTGTCGGCAAAGCAGGTTCGGAACGCCTAGCTTTTTGGAGTCTGGGGAATCGGAGCTAGGGCGTCATGGCCCAATCAAATCGCCTTCATTATGTAGCATTGAGTCTAAATAACATAGCAGCTAAGGAAGGACATATGCGTGGCGCTACGACAGCGCTAGCTTTCCTTCCTCTTCACTGGTCTCTGTGGCTCTGTGACAGGTAGCCATCATCATATAGTATACATTCGCAATGCCGGGTACAAGGTGGGTAGCTGGCGCGGCAGGCCATCCATGCTGGCGACTAGCGAATAGAGATGTATGGACTACTATACCAGTGCAAATCGCAGGGTCGACGAGACGGCCTCAGAGATTCATAAACGTGTTTTCCGCCGACTATGGCAGTCTCGTCGTCCTGTCGAGTTCCAACTGTAGGTAGGGGTCTGTCTACATATGCCTACTAAAGCTGCAGACGTTCGGATGAGGGAGGGATTGCGCAACGCGGCCCGGCTATTCAGATAGTTGACCGTCAGGGAGGGGGTTTTTGGCCATCACACTGGAAACGACATGAATAGGAGCGATCATTCTCAGTTTCAATCCCCGCTCTATTCACAGCCACTATTGTTCCGCTCACCTTCTTTCTACTTGTCTATAGGGACCTCCGGAACCGAACGTGCGCCCGTGCATAATTGCCTCACGCGATAGGGTTGTTCCCCGCGGAAACTCAGTGGTCATCTCCGGAGATTTGGAAATAAAAATTATCACGGTAGGCAGGAGCCGATCCAGAAGCCGAGACTCTGGGCCCGGCTACGCCGGAAAGAGGCCCGTGAAGCGGAGCAAAGCCGCCGTCACTTGGTAGCAAAATGACCACTCTTATGATTGACTGGAACTATAAAAGTACGATGGAGCTGAATATGTCCTTTGCATTGTATACGCATGGCCATTATAGACCGCCTGTACGGTGATGTACGCTGCAGCATGTAGGAAACTTCGATTCCAAGGCACGGCCGAGCCGAATCCACAGCCAGTTTGCGTATAACAATGTATTTTGGTGGTGTGACTGCATGCTATACGACGCAATATTATCGCTGGGTAATTCTAGACTGTGATGCAGTCCACATGTCGAGCAATACTTTCATGCATGGCCAACTGCAACTGCAACGATCTACTGCAAACTATTCACAAGCAAGTCGGACAGTTTCTCGACCCCCTCGCGCGTCGTCGTCTGGCTAGCCATGAGGTAGATGACATTGCCCAGGACCCGCGCATGCACGTTCCACGGACCGTTGGGGCCGTCCGCCTCGCCCTTTGCGAGCGCCTCGCGCACCGCCAGCGCGGCCGTGCTGCTGTACCCCGCGCCGGCCTCGTCGCGGAGATGCACGGCCAAGACGCTCCCGAGCGCCCAGACGCCGTCGACGCGCGCCGCCCTGCGCGACAGCGTCTCGACGAGGTCCAGCGGCCAGACGGACCACACCTCGGCGTCCTCCGCGGCCGTCTTCCTGCTGGCCGGCGTCGGCGGCGCAGCCACCCAGCCCTGGCGCTTGGCCCAGTCCCACGCGCCGCGCTTCTCCATCTTGCGCATCATGGCGAGCGACTCGAGGCCGACCTGGCAGCCGATGGGGTGCGCCGTGTAGCTGTGCCCGTGCAGCAGGGCGTCGGCCTTGTCCGCGCTGCGGAACACGTCAAACACGTCCTCGGACGCCATGGTCGTGCTCAGCGGCACGAGCCCGCCCGTCAGCAGCTTGGCGTTGACCGCGACGTCGGGCTCCACGCCGAGAAACGTCGACGGCGTGAACCGCCCGAGCCGGTACAGCCCGGTAAACACCTCGTCGAAGAGGATCGGCAGCCCGCTCCACTGCTTGCTGGCCTCGGTGCGGGCGCGCACGCCCGGCTCCGAGGTGAAGAGATGGGGGGAGCGTCGGATGACTTGGACCAGGGTTCGCTGGAAGAGAGGATCGCTGCGGAATGGGTTAGGCTTCTGTGTGTCTGGTGGTTGGGGCAAGGAGGGCACTTACACGAATGCCATGCCGCCGGCGCCGAGAACAATCGGCTCCATGATGAGCGCGCCAAACTTGCGCCCCTGTGCCCTCAGGGCCTCTAGTTTCCCGACAATAAACTCTTCGTACAGCCTGTGCTGGTTCTCGCGCTCGCGCCCCTGGACGTCAAAGATATGCCGCAGCGACGCGTACTCGCGCGGCCGTCCGAGCTCCTCCTCCAGGCCGGCGGGGGCGGTGACCTGCCACGTGCCGTCCTTGCAGAGGATGGTCGGGTAGTCGAACCAGTAGCCCTTGCCCTCGTACCACTCAATGTTCTCGTTGTAGACGCACGGCTCGGCGCAGTCCATGGCGCCAATGGTGTCGCCGTGGTAGCCGCCGCGGAGGCCGAGCACGCCGAGCTTCTCGTGCGGGCCCCAGCCGTAGCGGACGCGCGCGGCGCGCAGGCCCATCTTGACGGCGACCTCGGTGCCCGTGCTTCCATTGTCCGAGTAGAAGACGCGCGTGAGCCGCGAGTTGCCCGTGCCCTGCAGCAGCGTCTCGGCCAGCGCCATGGCCGGCTCGTGGATGGCGCCCGCGAACATGACGTGCCCGTAGCGGCCGGCCGCGTAGGCCGCCGCCATGGTGAGCTGCGGGTTGGCGTGTCCGAGGCCCTGCGTCCACCAGGAGGCGGAGCCGTCGAACGAGGCCCGCAGCGCGCCGCCGTCCTCGGGAGACTGCGCGTTGTAGGTCTGGAAGTAGTCGCCGTGGGCCGAGTCAATCGTCATGATGTCCTTGGCGGGCAGATGCTCGTGCTGGGTAAATGGGTACCAGATGGTCTCGTGAGCCTTGGTCGCCATGCTGTCCAACCTGGCGAGTCTCTTGGTATGGCTCTGATCGAGGTGTTCCAGTACAGTTTTGACGACGTTTTCCTCGGTGCGTTGCTCATAGTACTCCTTCATGGCCTCGACATCGCGCGCTTCGTTTTGCAGGCGCTCAGGCGGCGCCTGCAAGCTCATGACGGGAATGCTGTACTTTTGCAGGAAATAATCGGCCAGGTAGAGATAGTTTTGGTACGTTGTGTCTTGGAAGAGCATGACTGACTGCACGTCGTAGCCGCGGATGCGCAGGGCTTCAAATGAGGCAATCGTCTGTGATATGCCGCCCAGCTTCGCATCGCCGATAAGAACGACGGGCGCGCGGAGCGGCGTGTACATGTCCGCCTGCGTCGTGCCCGACGGGCCGGGCGAGTGCACGCCGCCGGCCGTTTCCATGAACAGCCAGCCTTTGCCGGCCCTGGCGCGTTCCGAGGCATGCTCGCGGCACCGGGCCAACACCGAGGCATCAGAGGGGATTGGCTGTCTTGGTTGTCAGTGCAGGCCGCGCGGCGGGATAGGACGGCGCATGCATACCTCGCCAGACGCCAAAGCCGCGGTATGAGGGCTCACGGGGATGCCATATTGAAGTAATGTGTGATGATGGATGCCAGTAGTGAATTTTTTTATATGGCTGTGCAGGTCAGTATCAATTGGTCGGGACCGCAAACTGGCACGAGACACGGCTTCTGTAGCACTCGTTAGCGACGCGATTCATGTCGCAAAAAATAAGAGAAAAAAAAAACTCACACTGATCATCTGCCTCGTTCAACGGTCCCGTCGAGACGGGCTTCAGAAAAGAGACGTTTTCTTGCTGCCAATGGCGCTTCGCGCTCTTGCAGAGCAACGTGGTAAAGACAGTCTTGCCAACCTCGGTGTTCGCGCCAAAGACTTGGTAAATACGGAGCGACCGCCACAACAAGGCGGCCAGAGGAGACTCCATTGTGTCGCGTGTCCCTGGGTAAACAAACCCTGGCCACCGACTGAGGAGCAATAGATGCCGTGTTTGACCAAGAGCTGTGACTCTGACAACAACGCAATCGCAGTCTCAACGGTGAGCAAGCTGCGTCTCGGCTTAAGCCTTGTGTGATTTGAGGCGGCGAAATCGGGTTCAACTCACTAACTAAATTAACTATGTAATACAGAACACGCACAGCCCGTACAACCCACTGAAACCTTGCTCCCCCATTTGTTGGGCGGGTCAACAACAGCAAAGCGGTTCTTTCTGAGCGGAGCATTCTTCCCACCACAAGGCAGCTAGTTATTCATTAGTTATGTACTACGAGTAATAATACCAGAAACTCCCTCACCAAGGACCAAGTGCCGATCCTTGTCGTGTTAAGCCGAGATCCATCTAGGATACGGATACTTGTGAGTGACTTGCGAGAGCTCTCCCAGCCAGTAGTCAGTAACTACCCATTATTAGTTACTGCAGTTACACTCTCTGCTATAGCTCGGCTGCCCCATAACGCTGTGACATTTTGCCATCAAGGCAACTCGGGAAGCATGTGTTGAGGAGCGCGCCCGCCCCAGCCCTTCAAAGTCCCTGACGCCCCGAAAACGGGGGAAGCCACCATGGCAATCAATGTCCATTTGACTCCAATTATCCTCGGCGACCAACGCCCGAACCATGTGTCCGTCGTCAACCTTCTCTCCGTAGCTCTCCTCTTGTAGTTTTCGCCCATTCCGTAGCTCTCTCCCCATCTGCCCCCCCTCCCATGATGCCCGGCAGCGACCGCATGGACGACACGCTGCGCCGGCTGCTCGACAACCGCGAGGCCCAGGGCCGGCGGCGGCGGCTCACGCTCGCGCCGCCCGGCGCCGTCGACTTCTCGTCCAACTCGTACCTGTCGCTCGCCGCGCACCCGGCGCTCAAGAAGCGCTACCTCGCGCTGCTCGAGCGCAGCGGCGACGCCTTTTCCCTCGGCTCCGGCGGCTCGCGCCTGCTCGACGGCAACAACGCGCTCACCGAGCAGCTCGAGCGCCGCATCGCCGCCTTCCACCGCGCACCCGCCGGCCTGCTCTTCAACTCGGGCTTCGACGCCAACGCCGGCCTGTTTGGCTGCGCGCCCCAGCCCGGCGACGCCGTCGTGTACGACGCCCTCATCCACGCGAGCGTGCACGACGGCATGCGCCTCGGCCGCGCCGACACCCGGCTGCCCTTTGCGCATAATACGGTCGATGGCGGTGCGGATGCGGACGGCACGCCGGGGAGCTTGAGCGCGGTGCTGGACGGCTTGTGTCGCGGCCCGCACGGCGACGAGTTCCGCAGCGGTCGCCGCAACGTATTTGTGGCGGTCGAGGGCGTGTACAGCATGGACGGGGATGTTGCGCCGCTGCGGGACATTGTCGCCTGTGTGCGCGAGCGGCTACCACGCGGAAATGGTCATATTATAGTCGACGAGGCGCACTCTACGGGCATCCTTGGGCCGCGCGGCCGTGGTCTCGTATGCCATCTCGGCCTGGAGGATGAAATCTGGGCACGAGTCCACACATTTGGCAAGGCCATGGGCTGCTCCGGCGGTGCGTCCTGCAGCATTCTCCCCCAACGGCCCCCCCTGTTCCCAATGACAACTAACACTTTTTTGTGTCCCTAGCCATTGTCCTCTGCTCGCCGACAACCAGGTCATACCTCATCAACTACGCTCGAAGCCTGATATACACGACCGCGCTCGGCTACCCGTCGCTGGCCGCCATCCAGACGACGTACGAGTACCTCGCGGCCGGCCTGGCTGACGGCCAGCACGCGAACCTGCAGGCGCTCACCCGCCAGGCGCACGGCCGCCTGGGCCGCTTGTGTCGGCAGCACCGCATCCCGCCGGTCGTCCTGCGGATTAACCCGACGCTGCCCGAGTCGCCCATCCTCCCGCTCTTCACCGCGCTGGCCCGCGAGCTGGCCGCGTACTGCCAGCAGCACGGTTTCCTGCTGCGCGCGATTGTGGCGCCGACGGTGCCGGCGGGGACGGACCGCGTCAGGCTGTGCCTGCACGCCGGTAACACAACCGACGAGGTGGACGCGCTCTGCAAGACGATTGAGACATGGGCGTGTGAAAAGATGGGCAGCGAAGCGACGGGCGTAGAGGACATGGAAAAAAGCATAGTCAAAAGTGAAATAAGTCGTCTGTAATGAAAGCACATTATATAAAGAGAGAAAAAAAAAACTGTCTATACTGGATGTTTTATTTGCTATTCTTTGGTTTCCTTAGAAGCTACCGAGCTGCTTGGCCACGTCAGCCTTGACGCCCTCCTCGGCGGGCGCCTTGTCGAAGCTCTTCATGGGCTCCAGCCCCCAGCGGCCAAACATGGCGCTGTCCTCGTCCCAGCCGTTGCACTCGGTGGTGAGCATCTTCTCGCCGGTAAAGATGGCGTTTGCGCCGGCCATGAAGCAGAGGGCCTGCTTCTCCTCGGACATGGTCTTGCGGCCGGCGGCGATGCGGATAATGGTGGCGGGCATGACGATGCGGGCGGCGGCAATGGTGCGCAGCATGCTGGTAAAGGCAATGGGCTCGCGGTCGCCGAGCGGGGTGCCCTTGATGGGCACGAGGGCGTTGACGGGGAAGCTCTCCGGGTGGGCGGGCAGGGTGGCGACGGTCTCGAGCAGGCCGATGCGGTCCTCGGCCGTCTCGCCGAGGCCGAGGATGCCGCCGGAGCAGACGTTGATGCCGGCGTCGCGCACGTGGCCGAGCGTCTGCAGGCGCTCGTCGTAGGAGCGCGTCGAGATGACGGACGGGTAGAACTCGCGGCTCGTGTCGACGTTGTGGTTGTAGGCCGTGAGGCCGGCGTCCTTGAGCTGCCGCGCCTGCTCCCCGTCAATCATGCCCAGCGTCACGCACACCTCCATGCCCATGGCCTTGACGCCCTTGACCATGTCGGTGATGTTCTTGAGGCTGTTCTTGCGCCCGCGCATGTCCCGCCACGCCGCGCCCATGCAGAACCGCGTGCTGCCGTTGGCCGCCGCCGTCCGCGCCGCCGCCAGCACCGACTCGACGCTCTCGACGCGCTTCGCCTCGAGGCCGGTGCCCTTTTGGTACCGCGTCGACTGCGCGCAGTACGAGCAGTCCTCGGTGCACCCGCCCGTCTTGATGTTCATCAGCGTGCACAGCTGCACCTCGCCCGGTTTGTGGAATTTGCGGTGGACAATGTTCTGCGACACGGTGAAGAAAAATTCATGTTTGGTTAGTTGCAAGTGCTTCAATTTTTGGTTTTTTTGCGACGTGGGTGTGCCGAGGGCATTTCAGCTTACAGCTTGGTGCGCCAGCTCCAGCAGCGGCTGGTAGTAGATGGCAGCGATTTCGGGTCGGGTCCAGTTGTGTCGCACCCGGTCGGCGGCGACGGCGTCGTAGAAAATCTTCTTCTTGGCCTCGTCCTCGAGCTTGCTGTCCCGCAGCTGCTCCGTGGGCGGTGCGGGAGGATCGAATCTCAGCGGCGACACATCCACGACAGAGCTGTTCCAGCGTAAAAGTGCCGCACCGCCGTGTCGGAAGCCGACCGCCCGGACGGTGCGGTAGGCCATGGCGGGGGTGGTCATTGTGTGTTTTGCCTTTTCGCCAGAGAGATTGAGGAGTAAACAGGATGGGTGATGGCGAGGGTCCTGCTCAATCGGTCGTTGCAAGTGTAGGGCCGGCTTCGGTTCGGTACTTTTAATCTGGCTTACTTTACAAGGCTAGGAGTTGGTCCGGTAATACCCATCCCCATCCCTTTGGGACACACAGGAACTCCTCATCATCCCCCTCCCCCCTCATCTAGATTTGGCGTGGGCGGGCCCCCTCGTTGTCAACACAAGCGCTTTCGCTGGTTGCGTACGAAACGCGTCCCATATTATTATTCTCGGGCCCTGCGGTTTTAATGGCGCACAGCCTATCCAATTGGACAATTTGTTAGTGTCAATCAGCTGTTGTGCTAGATCTTACAGGGGACAATGGTTGGGCGGAAACTGGCGGGTTGAGTGCTCTGCAACGGTACTTGCGAGGTACCTCTTCCAGGCCGAGCCGGTTGTATCTTGTTGAGCCGCCTACCTTCGGCGCCCCAGCGAGGTTTTTGTTCTCTTTTCTCTTTACTCCGTATTATCTACCAGTTATAATTGGGCTTTGGCTGATAAGAGGCCCACTGCTCATCTTGGACTACCCGTTGGCAACCAATCCACGCCGACTGCTTTCCACCTGTCACAGATCTAGATGTGTCATTATTAGTAACTAGGCAATACCACCATGAGGTTGGCATTCTTACTGTAGCTTGCGAGAGCACAATGGAAAAGTCTGAAACAGATGCAATTGGCGCCAAGATCTGGCTAGCGCATCTGATTAGATGTTAGTGCATACCCCAGCGGCCCGTGCTGAAACTAACAACTGTCCATGCACCTTGTTTGGTCACGCAACCTTGAAGCACATGTTGCAACTTGGTCAACTGTTGGCATTGGCTTACTCGGCTTGTTTCTATATATCATTCCACGTGTTGATTGATTTGTTGAAGACTCTTTCGTACCCTGAAAGTAAGATGAAGCAGCAGTGGTACAAAGTCGTAATTGCTAGGGTATATCTTCCACAGAAGAAGTGGTCAATGGTGCACCATCACCAAGCGCGTATTCTTTTTCCTTATTTTCACTACTGAATTCCGGGCAATTGGACGGAGGAATCAACCTGAATACAGGCCAGGTCTTTGTTATAACGCTATTCCAGATTCAGCAGAAAGTTCTCGTATTGCTTGCTGCCCTTCAAAACCCTCCTCCCGCTACCCTAGACCCATATCACCTGAGCCCTCTGATGCAGTTCCAGAACACCCGGTCAAGTAACTATGGATGGGCCTTGAAGATTCCAAGTCTTTCCATCAATAACTAAATCAATTGTTCATCCATTGTCCTCATTCATCCTAGTTACACGTGCCAGGGCGCTCGGGCAACGTCTGGACCAGTGCTCCCCCAATATCAACGAAGCCATGTACGTCATGTTTGACCGCTACTTACCGGGCAGTGCCGTGTCCCGTTGGCCGACCGTCGCAAAATGTTTCCAATGCCGCTCATGATCGTCGTTTTTCGATATTGCACGGCACGCAGAACACGTTTCGGCCTGATGGCGCAGCAAGGACAATGGCCCGTCATGTAATAAGCACGAGCGCTAAGGCAGAGTTGCGTCACGGGCCAGCTGCAACCGCTGTATGCGGGGTTGCAGATCCCGCCAGACGGCCTCAACCGCTGCTTCTCACGCGGTTTTTAAATAATTCTCGTGATTTCCATCATTGATTTTCCATCCCTGTTATTTCATCGTCATCTTTGCCAGGATCACAGACGCGCTTACCAGTACCCCAGCCGACTTGCGAAAGACCCGTCCCAACATGTCTCAGTCTACAGAGTAAATAGAGTCCTCCTACGTCATAGTCGCAGCCCAACCCGGGCCGAGCATGTGCAACCATGCGCGAGAAATCAAAGAAATAGATCAAGATGAGGCTAACAGTACTGATGTGACTACAACAGCTTAGCCGAGCTTGCGAGCCTTTTGCTGAAAAACGGCCCTCGCAAGGTCATCCCGGCGACGCGGCGCGTACGAGTCATCTACAACCGCACCGTCATTGTCGACTCAACCAAGGGCTCCCTGGTGTGGGAGCACGACTACTACCCGTTCCTGTACTTCCCCGCCTCGGAGATCCAAAACTGCACGCTCAAGAACAAGCAGCCGGTCAAGGGCGATGGCATCAACCGGGCCAGCGTGGCGGAGCTGCACGTCGCCGCTGACGAGAGCCGCCGGATCCCGGCGGCGACGACGGATCGCGTGGTGCGCTTCGCTGACGACCGCAGCCTGGGCGCACTGACGGGCCTCGTGCGTCTAGAGTTCAAAGCCATGGGTGCGTACATTGGCGAGCACTTTCTGCTGACCATGGTTCGCTGACGACGTTTTGCGTAGACCAGTGGCTGGAAGAGGACGTGCCCATCTACGTGCACCCCAAGGACCCCGCGAAGCGCATCGAGGCGCTGCCGTCGAGCCGCACCATCGAGGTGCGCGTCGACGGCACGACGGTGGCGCGGGCGGGCTTTGCGGTGCACCTGCACGAGCCGCGGCTGCCGACCCGGTACTACCTGCCGATGGGCTGCCTGGACCAGACGGTGCTCCGGCGCAGCGCGCTCGTGACAAAGTGCCCGTACAAGGGCGACGCCGACTACTACGACGTCGTCATTGGCGGCGTCGAGTACCCGAACATTGTCTGGTACTACCGCTACCCGGCGCTCGAGTGCGGCGCGCTGGCGGGCATGGCGTGCTTTTATAACGAAAAGGTTGACATTTTGCTCGACGGGGTGCTGTTGGAGCGTCCGACGCGGTAGATGGTGGATGGGATTCTGTGAAGGCAGTGGTGAGCGTGGTGCAACAGGCACATGCCTTGCGATTCACGGGAGAGATAACGACTGGATGTTTTCAAAACGGAGAGACTGATTTTTTGGGGGATACGTATGAACATCCGAGATACGGCATTGAAACGAGGCTGATTTGATGCATCGACGAGTCCGCTCTGAAGAGTGGCATGTGTGAGTAGCAAGTCCACTCGAGTCTGGCGCCATGAGCGGAATTCATGTCTTCCGTATCTGTGACTGCGGCAATTGAGAGGTAACTTTCAAACTATTGATAAGCCATTATTCATGCGAAAACCAACTATCGAGAGCCTGTGTTGGGTTCTTAGATGGTGAGGCTGATGTGGCGTGAGGCTATTACAGCTGCCTTTCATGGTGGTGATGAGATGTTCCACACCGAGCGATTGTGGCCTCATTTGGTACAATTTATCCGTACACCCGTACACGTTGAATTACCCAGAATCGAGAGCACGTGTTGTACATCGAGCGCAAGTATGGCTGCAAATCGCTGTGCTACCAAATCTTGGCAATTTTTTCATTGCCAACCGGGACACCTCAAAGTGTTCGTGGTACACCGGCAGACGTTCATACCTGTCAAATTTTCCTAGCAGATTACAGATTTACACGAGAGAAAATATATGTCTATCGGCAAGTTCATTTCGCATTGTCGAGCCAAATCAGTTTTACAGAATAGTCAAGTCGGGCGTAAACCGCGTAAACCCTAGCTACCTAATTACAGATACAGCAGTCAACATCGGGATATAGTAGGTAAGTCTCGGTGAGAGAAATTGCAGGATAGCGCCGTGGGGACAAGACGGCACATGGTGCTGTGCGCTGTAGCACTTGGCCGCATAGCCTGACGCAAAAGGGGATAGGACTGGTTACGCCGCGCCGCGCACGGAACTGGGCCGGATTGGCATGACTAGATGCATGTTGCTTCGGAAGCGGCTGTGATGCTTGTGTCTTTTTTTTGGGGTTTTTTCTTTCTTTCTTGCAGCCACCAGCAGGGGAGTATCGGCGAGGACGAGACTCGGGATTCCAGTGGCGAGTTTTGGTGGCCGAATCGCTGTTGACATGTAGGTATGCACCTACCTGATTAAGCTATTGCAGGGGGCGCACCAGGTTCACGGCACTATTACCGCGTCGTGGCGTTGCAGGGAGGGAGGCAGGTGGCTTGCTGTGAGATGAAGCGATGAGAGCGGACAATTCAATAGTGTGGTCAGCTAACTAGTGAGGCGGACAGACCCGGCGGGTGGGATCGAGAAGGTCATGCTCTCGCGTTGGCGGAACGTCATCGGACTCTTTTCTTTTGTTCTGGGTCGCACATGATGGACAATGGTCTTGGTGGTTGCGGTTTGAACCAGCTCGTGTACGTGTACGTGTTACCGGTAGTGGTGTGGTCGTGGCTTTTCGGTGTATGACAAGTACGTAATGCGCGAGGACGATGGAAGCATGAGATGCTAATTACAGAGGATGCCTCGTCGACTTTCTTTGTGGCGGTGATGAGGATAATTTGTCTTGGTTATTAAGACGGTCTCTCAACTATGATTCTACGACTGTCTCAATCATGAGACTGTGTAGGCGCCAGCTAGTTACATAGGTACTAATACCATGTATGGGAGCGGCATCGGGTGCCGGAGGATGCGCAGTTTTCAGTGCCCTTGGTCATGTTTTTTACCTTCTCGTATCGATGCAACAGCACATCTTGGCGAGCTGTCGAGATTGGCCGAGTTGAGGCTGTGAAAGTGCATGAAACTAGCGCAGCAAGGTGGGAACCAGACTTTGCCGTCTGGCCGGGTTGCTGTTTTTATTATCCTGGCGCTTGCAGGAGTTTTATTTTTCCTCGTTTATCTCCGGCGGTTGCTTTGTTCTCATCAGTCCATGTCAGCTGAGAATCTGAGGTGGCCACAGGCGATCTGCACCCCCGAATTTGAGGGTTGCAGAAGAGAGGAGACGAGAATACGGATAGAGAATACGGACTGGAACATGCACGCTGCCGAGTTGGGTATATGAGATGAGACCGTATATCCTGGTGGCACCAGCTGAGGTGGGCATCCGACCAGCGACTCGGGTTGCTGCTGGGAGGATAAATGAGAGGCACGAAAGGAGAGGAAATTAGGTGACGAGGTCTGCACAGAGAAAAACAAAAAACGAGGCGTCGAGCTGAGAAAAGGACGATAAAAAAACGTGTGTTGGTGAAAAGGTCTAGAGCCGCCTCGACAGCGAGCAGGGGACAATGGGCGCCAAAAGACTGGGCGATAGAGGGACAATAAGCCCCCAAGGCCAGCGCCACTAGCGCTGAAGAGCCACTAAGAGCCACTAAATGCCGAGACAATGTCCACCACTCGAGGTGGCTACGGCGCCAACCTTTACTCGCCCGGGCTGGCTGAGCAGAAGGCGTCGCCCGTGCCAAGGGCCTCTAATTTTGGTCATGATTTTGTATTGCGGTGAATGCCACGGATAGAGGCCGACATCTGGTGGTGGATTTGGTTCGTGGTGGTGATACTGGCCCTGGACAACCGGCTGAAAAAATAGACTGCTTTGCCAGCAGACTATCAGGCGCCACCACGACCAGGTTCACCGTCTGAAGCTCCTTTCAGGCACAACAAGTGACAGCCTAAAAATAAAGAAAATTACTCTTTTTTCTAACTAGCGCCGTCGCTGACCAAGTCCTCGGAGCCCGCCCGTTCCACTTGACGGTGCCTTGGTCGGCCGCTAAAAGGCGCGTGTGTCCACTGCTAGCGTGGCTTTGGTGGAAATAACGTAGCGAGTGCTGGGAGCCAAGTTGGACTGTGCCGGCGAGATTGTTGTTTCGAGGTAGAAAAATCTCCGGCAGAGAAGATGGGTAAAATGAAGACAATGCAGTAAAAACTCAGTACGACATCCGAAAATGGATATAGCTTTGTGCCGTCATTTGATACGACATTGATTCGCCGGCGATGCGCTACGGCGGGGCCAACGCCTGATCCCTGCTGCACTGTCCATCACTGCCCGTTTCTGTCCTGCCGAGGTTTTATTTTATTTTATTTTATTTCAACATTTTATTTTCTCCGAAGCACTCAGCTTCCTTTTCCGCCTTCTTTTCTTCGCTTAGCTGACCTGGCCCACTATCTATCACCACCATCACCTCCATCACCACCCAGCAAACGCACTTCCCCCAGCCGTCCACCAGCTATCGCCAACGAATACAGACCTCGTCAACTCGTTCTCCAGCCCAATGCCACCCTCCACCCTCAGCTGCCCGGCATGCCCGCCGAGAGACAACGCACCGCCCCGCCCCAGGCTGCTGCTACTTGTCTAGGCAGGTAGCTGGCCTGGGCTTTTGGTCAGTTATCCAAACGCCTCTCCCCAGCGGCTACACCATACAGACAGGGCTGCCCAGCCTGCCATGCCATGCCAGCCCCTCCACAGACCTGGCCATCAACCCTGCTATCCAGCCGTCAAACGCACCATCTGCTTGGACCAGCGATTTTTGGCGTTTCTCCAGCTCCCGGTACGACCTTCTCCACTCCTTTCTACGTTCACGGCTGCGCACTGCTGGTAATAATATGGGCTTCTGCGCTTGGTGCACCTCGATGGGGCTCCTGTCAAGCACCGACACGAACGCTCGACCAGATGGCATATTAGTACGCTTGCCCCTGTGCCGCAATCCCGGGTCTTGTCCTCGATTCGCTTCCCACCTCATACTCTCGTTTGACTGTCTTGTTTTTCCTTCTCGTCGATTGGCTTTTCCTGCTTGCCATTGACTGTACTGTTGTGTCGTGTCTTGTGCGTCGATACCGGTGCGCCTCCTAGACCGTAGCAGACAACATCGCAACCATGAAGTTTCTCGGCGCATGGCTTCTCGGCGCCGCTGGCCTCGCCGGCCTCGCCAATGGTCTCGCCAGCACGGATACCATTACCTGGGGTGGTGATAACTCCAGAGCTGGTTACCAGACGTAAGTCAATTGCCCTCGCACTCGTTCACATTCGTTTGCTAGCCAACCCTTCTGTTCTGCGCTGCTACACCCATTGGCGCATTGTTCTAATCGCGAATGTCTAGCAACCACAACATGGATCCCTCCGTCGTTGGAAGTAACCAATTCGGCCAAATTTTCAAAATTCTCTTGCCCGGCAACTATGGCGGTGCCGCCGAACAAATCTTTTCTCAGCCGCTCGTTTACACGCCCAACAATAGCACTACGCAATACGTCTACTGGGCAACTACCCAGAACAACCTGTACAAGATGAACGCCAAAACCGGTGAAATTGTCGCCAAGCGCAATCTTCACATTCCCTTTCTCACCGCCGACTTAGACGGCTGCGTCGACATCAACCCCAACATCGGCATCACCGCCACTGGTGTCATCGACCCCGACACCGAGACCCTCTACCTCACGGCCAAGACCTATCTCGATCAGACAGTCCTCAACACGGCCCAGGGTCGCCCTAACGGCCGCTACTACGTCCACGCCATTGATGTCAACGACTTGAGCGAGCGCCCCAACTTTCCCCTCAACCTCGAAAATATTGCCGCCACCAACAATCAGCAGCGCATCTTTACCGGTGGCATCCATCACCAGCGACCCGGTCTGCTTCACATTGGCGACTACATATATGCTGGTTTCGCCTCCCACTGTGTCCAGTATAACTTTAGCGGCTGGATCATTGGTTGGCACAAGATCACGGGCAAGATTGTCGAGAGCTGGGCTACCGAGGGCGCCAATGTCCCCATCACAACCAAGGGAGGTGGTGTTTGGATGTCGGGTGGTGGTCTAGCCTCTGACGATGCCGGCTCCATCTTCTTCGCTACTGGCAACGGGTACGCTTCCCAGCTAGCCACCATTCCCGTCAAAGGCTTTGAGCCTCCCACGTCTCAGGAAGAGTCGGCTGTTCACATGACTCTCCAGGCCGATGGTAGCCTCAAGATTGTAGACTTCTTCATGCCTGCGGAGAAGCAGCAGCTTGACGGTGCTGACAAGGATCTTGGCTGTTCTCCCCTCGAGCTTCTGCCCCCAGAATTCGGCTGTGGTGACATCAAGCGCGTCGGTGTCATTACCGGCAAGAGCGGCAAGACATACTGGCTTAACATGGATAACCTGGGTGGCTATCGCAACGGCGCTAATAACGGTGATGCCGTCATTCAGGTCTACCAAAACGACAACTCTGTATATGCCGGTGCTGGCGTCTATCCTCTAGAGGGAGGCTACATCTACATCAACGTCATCCAGCACCCCTCCAACATCTTCAAGTACTCCTGCGTCAATGGCGTTTTGTCCTTTCCCAAGGTCGCCACTACAACCGAGACCAATGCTTACATCCTCGGTGTCAGCCACGGCACTACGACTTCGCTCAATGGCCAGCCCGGTACCGGTCTCTTCTGGGTTACTGATGTCCAGGGCCTCGGCCTCCGCATCTACAATGCCGTCCCTCAAGCTGGCACCATGACTTTGATCAACTCTTTCAGCATTCCCGGCGTCACCAAGTTTACCCGCCCCGTTTTCGGAGATGGACTCGCCTATATCGGAACCAACCAAGGCTACGTTTACGCTTATGGCTCGCCTGTCAATTCACCTCTCAACTGTACCTCCCCTACTGACTTTGGCAATGCCGATATGCAGTCCAACAGCACCAGTAAACAGGTGACTTGCACTGCTATCATTGCCCTGTCCGTCACTGGTATCGACCTTAGCGATCACACCGACTTTGCTCTTTCTGCTCCTCCCTCTGTGCCATTCAATGTTGCCAAGGGCAGCTCCTTCACGGTCTCTGCCACCTTCTCTCCCACCAGGGTTGGCCTTTTGTCCGCTGACGTTATTGTCAACACTACAAACTCGGTCGGCGGCTACAGTCTCAACAGCCATGCCCGCCTCACCGGTACTGGCCAGAGCACCTCTCCTCTTCTCGATGTGGCCCCCAACACTGTGACTTTTGATGCTGTCGTCGCTGGTGACGATCCCAACGGCGTTCAGCAGCAGTTCCTGATCAGCAATTTGGGCAATTCCAAGCTCACTATCCAGCAGGTGCAGTACTCCGCCAACAACGCTAGCGGGCCCTCGTCTACTTGGAGTGGCAGCGGCGACCTGGTCGTTGGACAGTTTACTGTCAAGAACATACCCACTACCCTCGATGGCCACAGTTCTGCCCCCGTTACCGTCGTCTTTGACTCGTCTCAGATTGGTAGCTACGCTGGGTTCCTGAAGTTTGTCTCAGACGGCGGCACCAAGTCACTTTCGCTCGCTGCTTCGGCTGGTGCTGCCGCCAAGGCCGTACTCGAATTCCAGACCGTTGATGGACAGGGCTGGGTGCAATATGTTGAGGGCAAGCCATTCGACTTTGGCAACGTCACCGAGAATCGCTCTCGCCCTCTCAAGTTCCGCATTACCAACGGAGCTGCCTCTGGTGGCGTCAAGCTATCGCTTACCGTTTCCAAGCCTCCTTTCGGAGTCGACGGTCTCATCAAGGCGGCTAACCAAGTAGATCTGGCCGAAGGAACCTCTCTGGCTCCGGGAGAGAGCGGTACCGCTACGCTCACTTGCAGCGCCCCCAAGACCCAGTGGAACGTTAACCCCACGAACGGAACCGCTACGTGGACTCTCAACACCAATGATCCCGTCCTGGGTAAGCAGTTTATCCAGTTCTACTGCACAGCTGTCTCCGAGCAAGCGCCACCTTTGCTTGCCAATGGCCTAGGCCAGTACCGCTACAAGGGATGCTACCTTGAGAACAACCCCGGCCGTCAGCTTTCAAATCAGCTGTACGGCAATGACGCCAGTACCAATGCCATGTGTATCGCTGCCTGTGCCGCCGGAAAATACCTCTACTGTGGTACACAGTACCATCGTGAGTGCTGGGGCGGCAACTCTATTCCTGTTAAACAGGTGGACGACCGCAACTGCAACTTTGACTGCTCCGGTGATCTGAACCAGATTTGCGGTGGCAATGGTGATGGTGGCGCCTCCTACATCTCTCTCTTTGTTGACTCCACTGGCAAGGAGACTGGACCCCCCCCTGCCCCTGTGGTGAACCCTGGTGTAAGCGGCTACACTAGTATCGGCTGCTACACGGAGGCCACAAACGGGCGTGCTCTTCCCAACGGTGCCGCAATCGCCACGAAGACTGTCAAGAGCTGCGTTGACGCCTGCAAGAGTGGCAGTTACAAATATGCTGGGCTTGAATATGGAGGCGAATGCTGGTGTGGTAATGCTTTTGCTGCCGGTTCTGTTCCAGCTCCCATCTCCGATTGCAAAATGCTGTGCAATGACAACAGTACCGAGTACTGCGGTGCTGGGTCTCGCCTCAACGTGTATCAGTTCGGCGTAGTCGTTAGCAGCTCTTCATCCAGCGCGTCCGTCGCCTCGACGGCCGACGTATCGAGCTCCTCCATTTCGACGCTTGGAACATCAAGTACTGCGTCGAGTCTCAGCAGCGCGGTCACGACTAGCACGACTAGCACGACTAGCACGACTAGCACGACAACGACGACAACAACGACCACGACCACAACCTCGAGCAGCACCCCTACTCCCACTGGCCCTGCCAGAAAGGCCGTCGTCAACCAGACATGGCAGCGGCAAGGCTGCTGGACCGAGGCCACCAACAAGCGCGCCCTGTCCGACAAGACATACGCCGACGACAAGATGACGCTCGAGTCGTGCGGCACGTTTTGCAAGGGCTACACATACTTTGGCGTAGAGTACGGACGCGAGTGCTATTGCGGCAATACGCTCAACACCGGCTCCGTCCAGGCCAAGCAGGAGGACTGCTCTTTCATCTGCCCCGGCGACGGCTCCGAGTACTGTGGCGCTGGAAATCGACTGGAGCTTTACCAGAACGTCCCGCCTAGTGCAACCGACTACAACTTTCCTTCTAGTACCTCAAGCACCAGTTCAGTCGCGACAACCTCTACCTCTAGTACCACCACCACGACCAGCAGCAGCACCTCCACCACGACCAGCTCGGCCACCTCAAGCTCGGCGACTTCCAGCTCGACCACTTCCACTTCCAGCTCGACCACTTCTTCCAGCTTAGCCACCTCCAGCTCGACCACTTCTTCCAGCTCAGCCACCTCCAGCTCGACCACTTCCAGCGCTACTTCCAGCTCGAC